AGAACAGAACAGAATAGAATAGAATAGCACAGAATAGAATAGAACAGGATAGAATAGAATAGAACAGAATAGAATAGAATAGAACAGAATAGAATAGAACAGAATAGAATAGAACAGAACATGCATTGCTCATAATGTGGGTACAGATTCAGGAAACTTCCCTTTCAATTGTGTGTGTTACAGGTCATAGCGAAAAAATGTACTTCTTCCTGCAATTCAGAAATAGCTGAGAAGCAGTGACATGGGAGAAAGCAGACCCAGCACAGCCACTAGCACACTGCAGGTGCAAGCACCCTTGTCCCTCCCTCGAGGCCCCATTTGCCCTCCTGCCCATACACAAGTACACACACAGACTCAGAAAAGGCTGTGTTATCAGGGGTTACCCAACTGTTCCCCCCGCCTCCTCGGGGAGAGGAGCAGGTGTGGCGATGCCCATGTCCTGAGCTCATCGCCTGTCTGGGGACATGCCCCTCCTGATGGCCACATGTCCCCACAGCAAATATTAGGAGAGCTTTTGTGAGGAGCCAGCTGGCGGCGTGTTTGGAAGTGCCTGGCTGCAAAGGTTTGGGGCTAATTAAGCTGCCTCTGAGGAGACACCACAGGGAACGAGGGCTGAGCAGGCAGTTTTGTGCTTTTCTGGATGTGTGTGTTCTTCTTGTTCCCAACCCTGGATATGGAAGGAGTGGGTCTGGGAGAGGACACTGGAATCAGAAGAGGTCTCCGGAGGGAACGGGAGCTTGACATTTGCAGAAGGGAGACGCAGGAACAAATTATTTGCTGGTCAGATGTGTTGGCAATTTTACCGCTGTGCTGATGAACAGGAAATGGTGAGGGAGAACAATGGGCTTTGGGGTGGGAGGCAGGGTACGTCAATCTGCAGCCTGGGCTAGTGGTGCCGAAGAGAAAACTTGGGGTCCGAAGCATCTGAGTTCAAATTCTGGCTATGGCACTTCCTTGCTGTGTGACCTAGGGCAAGTCATTTTCCCTCTCTGGACCTTGGTTTTCTAGTCTGTAAACTAGGAAAATAATAGCATCCACTTCAAGGGGCTGCTGGAGGGCTTCAATGAAAAGACGTAAATTGCTTAGCCCAAGTCTTGGAATAGAGCTGTAGCTCTCATAGCTACCACAATTTTTATTGCCACTACAACATAAAGCCTAGATCCATTCTTTCATAGAGATCTATTGTCTAGGCTGAGCTCCTACCAATGCCAGAAATCACGGAGCACATGAAACCATACCACTTAATATTTACAGAAGGTTTACTGCATGTCAGGCACTGTTCCAAGCACTTTACATGCATTTGCTAATTCTTAGCAACAACTCTATGAAATACAACCTGTGAAATTATCATCGTGGGTATCATCATAAGATTATCATTACCAACAACCCTGTGAACTGAACATCATCCTTATTTTACAGATGAGGAAACATGTCAGTTATCTACTGCTGAGTAACAAATTATCCCAACACTTAGTGGCTCAAAACAACAATAAGTATTATCTCACACAGTGTCTGTGGCTCAGGAATTTGGGAGTGGCTTA